ATGTATAGCATATATACAAGTATAACAGGATGATGATGTATAGCATATATACAAGTATAACAGGATGATGATGTATAGCATATATACAAGTTTAACAGGATGATGATGTACATATATACAAGTATAACAGAATGCTGATGCTTTTTTTTTACAAATTTTGAAAAAAATGAAAAAAGAGAAATTTTTTACATAAGTTAAAAAAAATTTGAAATATCATAAAAGTATGATAAATCATAAAAAAGTTTTTTTTTTTGTAATAAAATATATAAAGTATTTTCCAGATATGGAAAACACTTTATAAATGAAATATTGAAAGAAAAAATATTGCTGTTCTAACAATACAAAGAGAACGTATCTCCTAAAATAACCCATCAATGATATATTTATCTAATTTAAACTCTCATAATGTATTTTAAGGTATGCCAGAAACTACTTATATCTGAAATCAGACATTAGCTATAAATTCAAGGAGAAAGACGAAAGATAAGAGATGCAGAATTCATAAAAAAATGTATTTGCTACAGAAGAACCGAAGAAGGTTTTTGAAAATAAAGATATCGAATCAGAGTATTCAGTTTCTGCATATGATTCAATTGTCTCAGAGTCTAGTTATGTTTATTTGCGTAGAGAAAAAGAACTACAACATACTTTTAGAGCTTATTACAGAAAAACCTATTGATGAAACATTTGCTTGTGCTACAAGATGCAATATAAGTTGGAGAGGTCATTTCATTACGCTAACTAGTATTGTTAAAGCAGCTAATGTTAATATTAATAATGTAAATATGTCTTTATCAACTTTTTGTAGAAACCAAAATGTAACCATTAAGATACCGGGTGATTTTAATATAATTAAAATCATATTTAAGTTGAAAAGCAAAAGATCAATACTTCACATTGGCACCAAACTTGTAAAGCCAATTTGTGAGTAGAGAAACATATGTGTTACAAATAATTAACAAATAAAATGAATTAATTAGTTAGTACAGATACAAACAGTTGCAATACTAGTAAATACCACAGAGCAATTGCAACGATTACTCATGTTTTTTACTCCGCCATCCTTTGGGATCTTTCGAAACATTATATGCATATAGAAAGTCCACATTTGACATTTGATTGTAGTTTTCTAAAAAAAAATTGTATAGAATTTCTTTAAATTTTTGAAACATATAGCTTATAGAAATTTGATAGAATCTCTCTTAATCTCTATAGAAATTCCTAAAAAACTATTTTTTCTACTTTTTTTTTATAGAAAAAAAAAGTTTTATAGCAACTTTTTTTCCTAAGTTTGTATAGATGTAGCGAAGGTTCACAAAAATTACTTTATACTAAATTTAAAAAGGTCTAATAAGAGATCAATAATGAGTTAAATAGGCTTTATAATGTTTCTATATTTGATTGGAGTCAACTAAAGTTTTTTGTTTAATTTTTATGTAAAAGCCAAAGAAGCCCTGACATACTTGACTCGCGCGCTTCATGAAAAAGTTTTTACTGGAGTTATTTGCAGCGAGTTGGTCAAGCCTCGTGTAATACTTGAGTTAAGATGGCTGATTTAATAAATATATTTTAACAGTTCAGATGACCAAAATTACGCAAAAATATTACTAGTGGAGACTAGTAGAAATAATAAAAAATTAACTAATTAATTTTAAGCCAGAGAAATTCAGCTGCGGTTTGCCCACAAAAATTTATAGTGTAATGTATATGTAATGACTTTTTACTGTTGATATTGTAATGTATATGTAATATAATGTAACGACACTTTCTAACCTTGTTGGTCTAGAAAGCTGAATTTTTTTCAACATTGTTATATTTTATAGAAGAAATAGCTAATTATTTCTATAAAAACATAAAAAATTAAAAAAAACGAGTTTAAAGCAATATTGTTACACATGACCTTATAAAACCTTAAACATGATCAATTTGATGTAAATAAAGGTTGCAAAGTGTAGTGCTCCTAGATTTTTGTCATTATATGACATAGGATGTTAAACATAGTGCATTTTTATGACCATGATGACTTATAAAATACGCTCTTAAAGAATTAACATGGACATTAACTAAATTGCTACACTGCACAACTTTCGTATTTTACAGCCGTTAATGGAATTGAGTTTTGTGAAAGAGAGACTTCTAACTAGCTGCAAAAGTATTAAGGTACCATTTAGAAATATTGATCTAATTAAGAGATAACTAATAAGAAAGAAAGGAGAAAATACCGCATAACTACTTATATAAATTGTATATATACAATTCGGGTGTTCCGAAATGGTTGACCCCATTCGTAGCCCAACAGTTTTCGCAAAATTTTGTCAGAACTATTTTAATTTTCACAGCTTGTGTAGAAACGTTTTAAGTTTATGTGTGTAACGTTTGTCATTTCTATCTTTTCATGTTTAGAAATTCCGCTCACTTCGAAGGAAAAGGCATTTTGCGTATTAGTGTATGCTCGGACTCAGTCACCTAAGACAGTGCAGCCTGCCTTCACAAAATTTAAAAAATTTTGGTGAGTACAAAATTTGGACTCACCAAAAGTTAATAAGTTTTGTGCAATACCCAACAGGCCTGTACGCAGGATTTTTCGTGGGAGGGTACGAAATTTGAAAAAGTGGACCATTTTTACAACATATCAAATATATTGCTTCCAAAATAATACACAAATATAAACTTTATAATGACACACAAGCTTAATAAGCACCGACATTGAATTTGTGTGAAGTCAAATAGTTTCAGTCAAAACAGACCGTAATTGTAGACACCGAGGATATTTTTGTAAAAATCAACAATTTTCTCTTCGTTGATGGCTTTACCATAGTATATATGCATTAATGCAAGTACAGAGAGTCTTTCTTGCTTAATACTTGCTCTCGAATGCACTAGCACTACGTTCGCATTTGCAACTGGTCGCTGGGGTTGAACAATAAATTTTTAAAAGGGTGAAAATGTTTCGGAATAACTCTTCGTCGCATTCTCGTAATGCTTGCGCTGCAGTTGAAAGACATTCTTTAGGAGGTTTGTTTTGGAAACGATGCTTTCATTGAAACAACTCTTGGGGAAACAAATCAACAGATGGTAAGTATTCTGCATAAAATTTGTCAACATTTTAAAGAGATTCTCCTCCTTCTTCACAGAGAGTAGATGGTACAGGCCCCAACAGTTTAGAGGAAAGGATGGAAATTGACTCTTCAACTCTGAGCTAATGTGGTTAAGGAATAAAATGGCAAGATTTCGTCGATAATACTCCTCAGGATTAATCGCAAGAGCATTGTTGCGCATTATTTGACGTCCAACAGTCCTTGGCTTTGTTGGTTCGGTGTTGACAGAACGTGCCATTCGTTCGGCTTGGGTGTAGACACGCGAAATTACATCGTCTATGTTTCTTAAAATGTCTTTATAAACAGATTTCATCTCAGCAATTGTGGATATTATCATGGTATGCCATGATAATATTCACAGTGCGGCCTTGTAATTTCACAGTTATTCCTTCCAAATGTGACAGGAATTGGTACATAATCAAGAAACTTAAAATAAAGTCAAATGACGTAAGACTTGTCAGCAGTGATTTGGCATTGTCTCTGGATGTTGTATCCCATGTAACATTTGTGAAATCTTCTCCGCATGCATCTTTGTTCTCACCATTCGCAATATATTCCAGAGCGATAATAACGCAGCAGTATTCTAGGTAAAAAATGTCTGTATGAGTCATGCCGTGAAGACCACTTTGTTCTGCATAGGTCAATGATACCTTTTCTGGGTTTAGATTTGTCTGGTAATGCCTTTATGATGATTGATTGCAGATGACTCTCGCGCTTTGGACTAGCAAGGAAAAAAAGACAACACTTCTTCAGTTTGGCAATGGTATTTCTTGTATTTGAAAGAGAACACGAATGGACTATAACATGATTAAGGCAATATCCACTGCAGTGGACATACACAGCCTTTGGAGATTCATTTTTTATCTTACTTAGAACACCTACATTATCACTGGAAATATTTGCAGCTCCATCGTATCATTGACCACAAATGTTATTTAAATCGAGATTGACGTCTTGCAGAAATTGAGTAATGGTGCTAGCAATGACTTCTCCGGTAATTCTTGGAACATGGAGAAAAGATAAAAATTCTTCACGAATGTCTTTGTTTTGATCAACAAATCTAATGCAAAATGAAAGTTTCTCACGATTATGACTAGTCACCTCGTCTGCAAGAATACTGTAGAATAAAACAGTTTTTATTTCTCTATGCAAGTCACTACGGATGATATTGTATCCAATAATTATTATAACTTTGTTTTAAATACGCGGAGAGGTGTATTTCGCTTTTGATTATTGATACCAATATGAGAAAGATGCTGATGTAGGAATTCATCATATTTCGCAATAATTTAGAGCGCTACCAAAAGGTTACCCGGGTTGTATTTTATCGAATTATCAGATGCCGACATTGTTTCTTGATCACCTCTCAGTGCAATGCACTGTCTTCCGCAGAAAAGGGTTGCCTCAGCTATTGTTTTTACAATGTGTCAATTCCTTTCACCTTAATCTTTCTTTCTTCATCAAAACAAGTATCAATGTTTTCATTTGGCTTCTTGATTGAATTACAAAACGTCATCGCGGTGGTTTATTTACAAATTTTCCCAAATTCTGTCTTTTGGAGATAGGAATCATTACCGAACAATGGATTCAGTATGCGCCATTCAATAATGGACTGTAGACCATCCATTTGTATGTATCCGTCATGTATCTTTACCTTAAATTGACGTTGACATTTGTGAAGAAATTGCGACTGAAAAATATATTCTATAGGTGGCTTGAAGTGATTATTCAAGAGAAAGAACTTTTTGTTGAAGCCTATTTGGCTTCCCGCGAATAATCTATTGGTTATAACTATTTCCCGCAGCGTATTGCGTCTTAAGCCATGCTCTCATGCTAGTTGTATATTATATATTGACCTTACTAACTTACAACTCTTCTTACTATTTAATATATATTATTGAAACTCACATAGTAGTTATTTCTTAGTGTTCAAATTATATAAAGTAAACCGTTGAGTAGATTTAAGTACTCAATAATTGGAGCCCACAGAGATATTTGTTGCTGATCCTAAAGTTATCAGCTATCGTTCAAGTTTATTGCTGATCCTAAAGTTATCAGCTATCGTTCAAGTTTATTGCTGATCCTAATGTTATCAGCTATCGTTTAAGTTGCTGTTGATCCTGAAGTTATCAGCTGTTTTAAAGTTGTTGCTGTTCTGAAAGTTACCAGCTGTTATTAAATTTCGTTGCTGATTCTCAAGTTCGAACAAAGATTAAAGTTTGTGAGAAGATAAAGTTGAAGTTAAGTAATAATTGATATTGTACTTGTTTTTTGGGTCAATCCTTTTTTTGGGGGTTGTTTAATGCACGTGTTTTTATTAGCATTAAAAAATTATATATATTTGTTATTTATTTGTGTTTGTGTCAGAATTGACCATAGTTTTTTTTAAGTAAGCATTATTTGTTGTTGACATTTATAGGGTTTTTATATAATGTCGAGTATTGCTGGAAAACGACGTGTTCGTACCATTACGGTCACTGCTGTTAAAAATATATTTGAAAGGGCCAATGAGTGTATGACTAATTTTAGTCAGGATAGTAACTCCTTTGAGGAACTATCTAGTTTTAAGGAAGTTTTGATCGAAAAATATAATAAAGTTAAAGCAATTGATGATGATTTGATCAATTTAATTGAAGATGATGAGGAATTGTTAAATGAAGAAAATTTAGCTAATGAGTTTTCTTTATTTTTCAAAAAGAACATGAAAATAATTGAAAAATTTAATAATAATATTTATAAAAGTATTAACGAGTCGCAATCTAGCAGTTTAAAAAGTTTTTCAAATAATAACATCAAACTTCCACCTTTAAAATTAAGTACCTTTAGTGGAAAGCCAGAGGAATGGCAGACCTTTTATGAAAATTTTGAATGTGCCATCCATAATAATAATGATCTTTCCCCAATACAAAAGCTTAACTATCTAAGAAATTTACTTGACGGGAAAGCTTTAAAAACAATTTCAGGCTTAGCATTAACAAATGACAACTATCATACATCATTGGAGTTACTTAAGGAAAGATTTAATGATAAACAACTGTTAATTTTGACACATATGAAGTCACTTCTATCTCTAGAGAAAGTGCAAAGTATTAACAACATTTCTTTATTAAGACGTATTCATGATAATATCGAAGTTCAAATTAGAAGTTTAGAAAACTTAGGTATAGATTCAACTATGTATGGACCTTTATTGATTCCTATTATAATGCAAAAAATTCCAGAGGAGTTAAATTTGATTATTGCTAGAAACTTCAATTCTTGTGATTATTGGGATATAAAATATGTTTTAAAATCTTTAAAAGCTGAGTTGCAAGCTAGGGAAAAAGCTCACTCAGGTAGAGAGTGTAATTTTGATCCCTCAACAGCAGAAGTATTACATTCTAGTGCTTCCTTTAAGCCACAATATGAATTAAAATGCATTTTTTGTAGTAAAAGTCATAAAAGTGAAAGTTGTAAAACTGTAACAAATCTAAATTCAAGAAGAAATATTTTAAGAGATAAAAGGCGTTGCTTTAATTGCCTGAAATCAGGTCATATGTCTAAAGATTGTCGTTCTAGAATAAGCTGTTATGAGTGCTCAGGGAAGCATCATGTTTCTATGTGTTTTAAAAGGTTTCCTTTGCATATTGATGATAGTAAAGAATCAAACAAAAAGTTAACGTCTGTTGCTACTACAGAAGCATTGAAATCTAAGAATGTATTGTTACAAACTGCTATGGTTACAGTAAAGAATAAAGATAAGACACTAAGATGTCGTCTTTTATTTGACAGTTGTTCTCAGCTGAGTTATATTTCCCCATCATTACGAAAGAAGCTCTTTCTACCCACATTAGGTAGAAAGCAATTAAAAATTAAAACTTTTGGCAATCAGAGCCAAACCCAGAACTTAGAGATGGTTAAACTTTCTATACTGACTTTAAAGAATTCCTTAATACCTATAACTTGTTTTGTTAAGCCCATATGTGCTCCTCTTAGTGGTCAGTATATAGAGGAGGCTGTCGATTCCTTTGAACATTTAAAAGGAATCAATTTAGCTGATAGTAATGTAGATTGCAAATCATTGGAAGTAGATGTACTTATTGGAGCGGATTATTATTGGTCATTTTTTAATGGCAAGGTAATTCGTGCCAATACAGGTCCTATTGCTTTACAATCATCAGTTGGTTATATATTAAGCGGAAATGTAAATGCATCATCTGGAAAAGATTGCTGTGTCTTTTCCACACATACTTTAAAAGTTGAAACGGAATTCATTAATGAAATTCCCCAATTTAATGAGAATATTAAAAAATTTTGGGAACTAGAGAATTCAGGAGTGGAAGATAATATTTTTGATCATTTTAAAAGTAATATTTATTTTGATAATAAAGAGTGTAGATATACAGTTAAATTACCATTTAAAAATAACCATGCATTATTGAGCGATAACTATAGTTTATGTATAAAACGTCTGAATGTAACTCTTACTAAATTAAAAAATGATTCTGAGCTATTAAATGAATACAATAAGATAATTATAGAGCAATTAAATTCAGGGGTAATAGAGAAGGTAAATAATTATGATTCGAGTATTGGTGAGGTGCATTACTTGCCACATCGCCCAGTATGTCGTAAAGATAAAACTTCAACAAAAGTGAGAATTGTTTTTGACGCAAGCTCCACTCTATCAGGTCCATCATTAAATGATTGTATAAATGCTGGACCAAGTTTAGCTACATCTCTATTTTTTATATTATTACGTTTTCGTGCTAATAAATATGCCTTTATTGCAGACATAGAGAAAGCATTTTTGCAGATTGCCCTTGATAAAAATGATAGAAATTATTTGCGTCTAATATGGTTTGATGATATTTATAATATTAATAATAGTAATTTGTTTTCATCTGCATTGGCTACATATCGTATATGTAGAGTGCCTTTTGGTGTTACTTCATCTCCATTTCTCCTCAATGCCACATTAATTTATCATGCTGAGAGATATTGCCTTAATGATAATAATATTTCCTCAAAGTTGTTGGAATCCTTGCATATAGACGATTTGATTTCTAGCTGTGTTACCATTGAAGAAGGTATTTTATTTTTTAATAAATGTAAAGACATATTAAAAGAAGGAGGTTTTAACTTAAGAAAGTTTGAGTCTAATTCTTCAGCCTTTGAGAAACAAATTAACGGTGACAATTATGAGAGACAAACGAATACAAGAGTTTTAGGCCTCAAATGGAATAAGACAGAAGATTCAATAATTTATTCATTTGAGGATTTATTAAATGTAGCCTCAATAGTTCCAACAAAGAGAGAAGTGATGAGTTTTATGGCCAGTATTTATGACCCAATAGGTCTTATTAATCCAGTAGTTGTAACTTGTAAAAATTTATTTTAAAGGATTTGTGTTTCTAAGTTAGGTTGGAATGAAAATTTGTATGGTGATTTATTGTCTACTTAGAATCTTATTTTAAGTGATTTCAAATCTGTTTTTCAAATAGCAGTACCTCGATGGTATATGAGTCCTGGGTTGGGTAATATAAATAATGTAAAATTTGAATTACATGGTTTTTCTGATGCAAGTGTTAAGTCGTTTGGGTTTTGTGTTTATCTTAGATTTTTTAATGCTAATTTTAGTCGTGCCTCTTTAATAGCCTCGAAGTCTAGGGTTGCCCCATTAGGCAAGAATACAATGCCTCGATTAGAGCTTTCTGCAACTTTACTTTTAGCAAAGCTATTAGCATCTATTTACGATCAATTGATATCTATTTATAACATTTCAAATATAATATATTGGACTGATTCAACAATTTGTTTGCATTGGATTTTTCATACTAATAATACCTATGAACAGTTTGTACAAAATCGTTTGAATAAAATAAGAGAATTGACTTTAATTTGTAATTGGAACTATATTGAATCCTTTAGGAATCCTGCAGATATAATATCACGAGGATCTTCGCTTAAGAAATTAAATAATAATGAACTTTGGTTTTATGGACCCAATTTTTTAAATGATAAAATACTAAATGGCCATATTATGAACATGTTAATCATTCAAATGAAACACTTGAAGTTTTGTGTAATGTGATACATGTTAAGGTTAATGTTAATCTTGACTTTATTAATGTTGATAAATTTAGTGATTTTAGGTATTTACTTCGAGTAACATCGTGGATTCTTCGGTTTATCAATAATGCGAAAGATAAAAAGAAGAACATCTTCAAGACTGGTTTAATTACAGCTGAAGAAATAGATAATGCAAAGCGATTGTGGATTAAATTTTCACAGATAAATCTAATCGATGAGAATAAATTTAAACAATTACGAAAAGATTTACGTTTATTTGTTAGCGATGGTATATATCGATGTCGTGGCAGAATTGAACATGCTGATTTAGAATTTGATACAAAATTTCCTATTTTTATTTTCAATAACTGTTATTTTGCTAAATTATTAATTTTACATTTTCATAAGCTTGTCAAGCACAATGGTGTGAAAGAAACAATTGATGCTTTAAGATCCCAGTATTGGATACCTTGTTGTAGGCAATTAGCAAAGAGCGTTATACGAGAATGTACAACTTGTCGACGTATAGAGGGTAGGCCTTATTCATACCCACCTGCTCCACCTTTGCCTGAAAGTCGTTTAAATTCTGATTTCGCCTTTAAAAGTATTGCTTTGGATTATGCTGGTCCGTTGTATATTAAAGATATTTATGGCGATTGTACGCTGAATAAAGCATGGATTTTCTTATTTACATGTTGCAGTAGTCGTTCGATTTTATTAGACTTAATAGCTGACTGTTCATCTAGATCATGCATTATGGGTATCCGTAGATTTATTGGAAGACGGGGTGTTCCAGAAACTATTTATTCAGACAATGGTTCACAATTTGTTTCAACTGAAACTCAGTACTTTGCTGCAAACCATTCTATAAAATGGAAGTTTAATGCGCCTTCGGCACCATGGTGGGGAGGGATGTTTGAGCGACTAGTACGAATGACTAAAAGATGTTTGAAGAAAGCCTTAAAGAATTCGAAGTCTTCTTATGAAGAAGTACGAACGTTGCTTTCTGAAATTGAAATGGTATTAAATAACCGACCATTAACTTATTTGTATAACAATCAAGGTGATGAAGCACTCACACCTAATCACTTAGTTTTTGGACATAAGCTTAAGCTTGAATCAAGTCTTAGTGCTTGTAACGATATAGAACAAGATGTGCATATACGAAACAGTATGTTATCGAATACATTGAATCATTTTAGAAGTAGATTCAAAAGTGAGTACTTGACAGAGTTGCGTGAATATCATAAATCAAAGCGGAGTAATGGATGTAATGGTATTCGTGTTAATGACATTGGGGGCCATCCATAAAGTACGTACGCAGTAAAACCACTGATTTAGGACCCCCCCCTCCCCCTTGTACGCACTTGTATGCTTTCAACGACCTCCCCCCCCCCCCCTCCTTCTGCGTACGTACGCATTTTTTATTACAAGTTCAGGCTCTCCTCCCCTTTCTTCCCCAACGCATTAATTTTTCAAAACATTAAACAAAAAAAAACATTTTGTTAATTTCTCTGTGCTTAATTAAAAGCCGGAAAGTTATTTGTTAATAATTTTCCAGTTTTTGTTAAAGAAAGAAAAATATTCTAAAAAAGAATTCTTGTTGCGAGTATTTATATTTCATATTTCCTCAAATGGTGACAAATAAATCAAATATGTTATCAAATACAGAACTCTGCTTCCACACTTTTATAATCAATCTCCTCACTGATATCTTCACTTTTATTAATAGATTCACTGTCACTTACACTATCCTCACTCTCCATTTCAACCGTGTTTTTTTTTTGTGTATGTGCTTTCTTGTGCCGTTTCATTGCAGCCTCGCTTGGCCAGTATTTATTGCACTTGTCGCAAATTCCGTTTGAGAGCTTTTCTTTTAACGATGGGCAATACAGATCAAATGGTATAATTTTGTATTTTAATCCTTCTATAGGTATATCATGTAGCAAAAGTCGATGTGTCAGTGGTGCAAACGTTGATTGTTTTGATACGTTTTTAAAATATCGAGACGGTTCCATTGCTTTGTAACCATTCTCGCAGTATTCGTAGATTGCCGGAAATGGAATGAAACGTTGGGGGAAGTTTTTCAGCCAGTTTGTTTCAAACGGTGTGCAACATGACTCCTCTTGGCATTTTACGATTTGTAGGCTGTATCGCGATTGCTGACAATGTTTGTCTACCCAAACAGGATCTGGAATTGGTGGTTCATATGCTTTCCCAACTGGTACAGCCTGGCAATGAACAGGATACCCGTCAATGACGGTTTTCTCCCAAACTTGGGATAAAACGTCAGCCGCTTTTTAAAAGTTCTCTACCTCCAATTCATAGTCGATTGTTTTTCCAGAAGAATCAAGGTGATTGCCAAAAAAATCATGAGGAAAGACTATTCCAGCCAAATCACGAGAAAGAGGTGCCATTCTTCGTTCTACGGGGTTAAAGGCTGAAAGACCAGCTGCATTCACACCATGAAGAAGGGCATCTAAATTAAGCAAGCGAAAGAGGTCAACAGCAGTTGCTAAGGTTTTAGGGAAATGTGGTGCTTCATCCTGAGCTCCATCAGTCTCCATTAACATAATTGGTCTACGTTTAACCAACTCGGTTTTAAAAAGCTCTCTAACATCAAAAGCATGTGTAAAAGCATTTGATGTATCGTGTTTCGCACTTCTTATGCGTATGAAAGTGTCCCCACTGTATGATACATTTCCAGTATTGTTAACTTCGCATACGCCATACACTGATGGGATCAATTTGTGCTGTGAGCTAACGACAAAATCGTGATCCATGAGTTTGACCTTGTATTCCATATGCATCAGCAACGGCACTTGAAGGCTTGCTGCAGCAATACCCAATGGGACCCTGGCTTTATCATCGTTGGAAATGAAAAGCACAGCTTTTGGTCCAAACAATTTGCAAACTTCGAACATGTCGTCAATGAATGATTTGTCAAACATTCTATCGTCATTTTTTTTTTTCGCATTGAGTTTTCTGGACGTAACAGCTTTACTGGAACTGTGCTGACATGTTTTTTTCCTTCAGAAGTGTTTCCACGTCGTGGTAAAAGACGAAGGTACAAACCACTCCTACTCAAGGTAAAGCCTATCTTTATCAACTCTTCCTGAAGGTCATCTAAAGTGGAGACGCTACGGAGACATTCTGTTCTTCGACGTTCGTCAGCTGCTGATAAATTTTGCACAATTTTTATAAATGTTGATAAAAGCTCTGGTTGGTCAACTTCGAGACGCGGTCGTCCAGTATGGTTTTGACTAAACTGTTTCAAAGCACTTGACAATTCAGGGATGTTCTGACACACAGTTTCGATGCTCCCTTTAAGTTTTTGTCTTCGTTTTCTTTGACGAGCTGATTCACGAATCAATCTGAAAACGAAATATCAGTAAAGCTTTGATTCCGTTATAAAAACTTCTATACTTAAGGTTTTGCAACTTTTGGCTAATGTTGCAAAAGAAAAAGTACGCAAATTCTTATTTCAAATAAGAAAGTATTATTTACAATAAGATTATGAAAGTTTCTGTCTTTGAAAATGTTTGGTTTTTATAGCCAAGACGCTTTTCTATACGCATAAATAAACTCTGTATTATTTAACATATATCTCTTGATATTTACTAGAAACCTGACAGTTAAGCATTCAAAAATGAAATATCAAATAAAGAAATACATAACTAAATTATCTTACCTGTCCAATTTTGTTTTTTCTTTTCTTATAGTTTCTTTCACAGTGTTTATTTGTTCCTTTGTTACGGTAGATAAACCAGAATCAAGTACGACTATCAAGGATGCACGTTGTGATTCAAGATCTGAGATTTTCTTTCGACTCCTAACTTGTGCCGGATTTTCTCTTTCTTTTTTGTTGTCTGTTAAATCTAAATTAAAAAATGCCAAAAAAAAAGCTATTATAAATTCTTGACAATTACTACTAATCAATTTATTTTGGATATAGAAAAATAGGTCTAGTGGTCAACATTATAAATTTCTGTGACTGCTCTAAGGTCGTACGATGTAGCTTGATTTACAATACGGTTAAACTCAGTAGGCCGGGTGAATAAAAAAGAGCAATTGCTTTTACTCAGTAATTGTTCAGTTTTACGTGAATAAAAAATTGAGCAATTATCCTCAAATTTCTATTTACGTAAAGTTGAGCGTTGTTGGAGTAAATTGTTCAGCTTTACATGAATAAAAATTTGAGCAATCTTGGTCAAATTTTTATTCATGCAAAGCTGAACAGTTACTGAGAAAAAGCAATTGCTCTTTTTTATTCACCCGGCCTAATGTATAGAAAATCACAAGAGAGAAAAAGTTTTTAAAATATTACAGAAATTAGCTTACTAATTTCAATCCTTGCAGGCTCTGTCGTAGTTGCATTTAGGAAACTTCGTGTTTCATTTGACGAAGACGGCGCTGGATGGATATCTTTTTTCTTTTTGCTAGGTGGTGAAATGGTATTTCCCCAGAATGACATAAGTGATACTTTCGACTTTGTTACTTTCTCTTTTAACTCATTTATTTTTTTTTTTTCATACAAGGATTCATTGTTTTTTACTATTTTCCACAACTCTTGTGCTTGCTGATACTGCTTTTGTTTTTCAAGTGTTGAATATGCTTTTTTATATAACTCAAGGAATTGAAGGTATTTTTTCTCGTTCCCGCGCGGCATCTTGGTTATAATAAATAATAAGTTTTTTTTCCAATGAGGCGTATTGAGTTTTCGAATAGAATCATAAAAGTTTTTTTTGTTTTATTTTACTCAAGATAATTGCCGTTACATTGCATCATAAAAAGTGTTGGTTTCCATCAGCATTTAAAGTAACTATTTTTTACAATTATCACAATGATTGTCATATGCATTGTCACATGTATGTTCATTTCGCTTCGCCTGTCCTTAGCAATCTTAATGTATGTTAATATTAACTTTAATGATAAAAAAAATAATAATATTACCTTTTTTTATTTTATTGTTTTTTAAAAACAAAATATTAACCTTTTAAGAGAAATGGGAAAAACCAGGTTCGTAGTTAAAAAAAGAATTCAGAAGTTTTCTTTGATTACAGATTTTTGTTACTTTTCATCCTGCTACAGTCGAATTATGTTGCAAAAAATGGAAAACATTATTTGGAGATATTATAGCTCGATTTTTTCTCTCCTCGTTACTTATAAAGAAAAATAAAAAACAATTGTAATTGAAGTCAGAAAAAAAAATAACATATATTATATTATGATTTTTTAACGTGAAATTCAATGTTTTTATAAAAAAACATTAAAACACGTGAAATTCAATGTTTTTATAAAGAAGTTTAGGAGAGATAGTTAAACCGCCTACGTACTCGCTGTCGTTAACACCCTCCCCCCCTGTACGCATTCGTACGTTTCAGGATAACCCTTCCTCCCCCCATACATGCGTACGTACTTTATGGATGGCCCTTTGTATTAATTGAAAATGATAACTGTAAAAGACAATTATGGAAATTAGCACGTGTTGAAGAATTGTTATATTCAAACGACGGAGTTGTTCGTGTTGCTAAAGTTTGTTACAAACAAGAGAATGGTAGTTCGTGTTTAATTACTCGACCCATTAATAAACTATATCTTACTGAATATTCAGACAATGAAAAAATAGTAACTGTTGCCTTTATTAACGAGAAGAATATTCCTTTACTTGTAAATGGTGGCCGGGAGTGTTGAAGCCTATTTAGCTTCCCGCGAATAATCTATTGGTTATAACTATTTCCCGCTGTGCATTGCGTCTTAAGCCATGCTCTCATGCTAGTTGTATATTATATATTGACCTTACTAACTTACAACTCTTCTTACTATTTAATATATATTATTGAAACTCACATAGTAGTTATTTCTTAGTGTTCAAATTATATAAAGTAAACCGTTGAGTAGATTTAAGTACTCAATACTTTTGACTATCATCAAGTGTCCTCATTGCAATACTCAATTCTTCATAATTCATTGCAGCATTCAATATTTTACCAACATCATTGGTGAAAGCCAGAGGTTCAGAATCTGATTGTTTGGTAGTACGAGATATTTTAGCGGGAGGACTATCAATAGAATCATGTTGTTTAGAAATTGCGGTATTAGTATTTGGAGCATTTTCATTGAGAGATTGATTAAGATTTTTCAGTTTTTTATTTTTTTACACCATCCATTTAGAGATTGACAAATTTTAGCTGCTGATATTCGTTTTCTTTCATTTTTTTTCTTTGCGCCCCAATGTATATGAAGAGTCACTGAGTGTGGTCCAGGAAAGTTATTTTCTGAAAAAAGAAACAGAATCAACTTATATGGAA